CACCCGCCCCCCTCCCAATCCTCTCCGCCAACCTCCCCGTCTCGGGATCGAAAAACTTCTCAAACGGCTCAATCAGCCGCACCCTCTCCACCCCCCTCCACGCCTCCAACTTCCCCATCAACGCGTCCCTTGCCTCCACCAGCGCCTTCTGCCTCTTCTCCACCTCCTCGGTGCTGGGGTGCTTCAAGGCCCACCGCGCGGTGTTGCACCCGCGGAACCACACCTGCAGCGCAAGAAGCCCGGATTCGGCCGCAGCGCGCAGGGGGGCGGAGGCAGATGCGAGGATGGGGACGAGCGTGTCGAGGGTGTGGCCGTGCCGGGCTTCGCGCGCGCGGACGATTTGCCGCCGGCGGGTGAAGCGCGTGTGCAGGGCGGAGGTGTAGCCGTTTGCACGCGCGTGGGCGTCGTTGAGGTTGGCGTTGCTGTTGACGTTGCTGTTGATGTTACTATTCGCGGCGCTGGCTTTGGCGGCGGCCTCTTCCTCGCGCGCGTCTTCGTTGTTCACGTTCTCCACGGCCGCGTGGAAGGCGAGGAGGCCCCTGTCGTTGCGTTAGTCTGTGTCGTATGGACAAAAGATCAAATGAGGAGACGAGGGGGGGGAAGGATGTGTCGGTGTGTGTTGCTCCGCAGGAGCTAAATCCGGTCCAACTAAGAATGCATCGCCGGGGTGGCATCAAGAAAGAAGGATCCAATAAGTTTAAGGCAGAAAGAAACTCACGACCCCCTCACCCCCAACGCCCGTATCTCCGGCGCCAGCCTCTTCAGATCCGTAGGGCCGAGCCGCCCCCGGCTGAGCTCGAGGTCCATGAGCGCGAGCTGGCCCGCGAGGCCGGCGAGCGCGCCGCCGAGGGCGAGGCGGGCGGAGGCGATCTGCGGGGTGGTTAGTGTGTGCGTTAGGATGGTGATTTTGGGGAAGAAGGGGAAGGAAGGTAGGAAAGTTGGAGGAAGAAGGGGGAGGGGCAAGCCCAAGGAACAAGGATGGCAAGATACGTAGGAAGAGAACGAGGAATCGGTATGTAACTCATGCGATGGGAGGAAGGGTCGGTGAAGAGAAGGAGGGAGGAGCGAAGTGATCGTGAAAGTAAAACCAGTGAAGTTGAGGTGAGAAGCAGGTGAGAAGGAGGGGCAAACAGGTAGGACGAGCCGCGTTGAACATCGTCAACCGAAAATGAAAGTGGAGAGGAAGAATAGAACGATTGTGTTAACATCTAGTTGAAACTATGCACCAAGGGGAAGAAAGGACGCAAGCAAGGTGGGGGACATGAAAACGGCGGCATTGGGAGCATAGCGAAAAATCTCGACAAGGAACGGAACACAGGAGGACAGAAAGAAAAAGAAAAAAAAAATGCAAAACAAAACACGTACCTTCCCCCCAACCTTCCCCCACGCCGCATGGTCCGACGGGCGCGTGCCGAGCGCCGTGTTTTGCAGGGAGAGGATCGAGAGCGTTGACTGCAGGTCGGTTTATGTACGCGTTGGTATTCGAGTTGAAATTTGAGTTGAAGTCCGAGTTCGAGTTCGTTTGAGTAGGAGTTCATATCCGAGTCGCAATAGGGCCACGAGATACGGGAGGACGTCCAGCGTGTGCAACGTAAGACCACGCAGAGCAAGAGCACAGGCAGAGTAAGAGGACAAAAAAGTAACATGCAAATAAACAATCCGTCAGTCCACTTGAAGTTTGAACAAAGAGGGAAGGACGTACACCGAAATATGCGCCGTCGAGGGTCGTCCTACAATACAGAATTAACGTCAGCCGGAGTTCGATAGTGAGAGGGGAGAGAAGGGGAGAAGGGGGGAGAGGGGGGAGAGAAGAAAGAAGAGTGCAGAGAGGGGACAGGTGAGGGGAAAGTCGGGAAGGGAAACGAGAAGAGCGAGGGAGGAAACCCCAGCAAAGCTGGGGTTTCGTTCGCAACATGAGAACCGCCGCGCCTACACCAAACCCGACCACATCCACGAGGAAACGAAGAAACAGTCGCGCCCAAAAACGAATGGCGCGTCCCAGCCTCCCAAAGAAACGGGCTTGTCGGGGAGCCGGGTATCCTTCCTTCCTCCTCCTCCTCCTCCTCCTCCTCCTCCTCCTCTCCCTCCCTCCCTCCCTCTCCAAACCAAACAAAAAAAAAACCCTTCCTCTCCAACTAAAACCCCACCTCCCCTCCCCCCCCCCCGCCCCCCCTCCCCCTCCCACCTCTCCCCCCGAAGAAACTTTTCGAAAAAAAAATCAAGAAGAAAAAACTTACAACCACCCCCCATTCAGACTCTCCGGGAACACGAGCACGAGCGTCGCGAGCGCGACGGCGAGGTAGTAGCACGCGGGGATCAGGAACGTCTTGGCGAGGGTGTATGAGGGCGTGGGGAGTACTGTGCGATGTGTTAGCGAGCGTTCAAAAAATGAAAATAAAAAAGGCGGCGGTTCAAGGGAGAGTGAGGGAGTGAGCGTGAGGGGGAGAGAAGAGGGGAGGGAGGGAAGAGGAAGAGGGGGAGGGAGGGAGGTACGATGGGGAGGGTAAAAGGAGGGGTTAACGAGCAGTGTGGATTAGTTTATGTTGGATATTAGGGTGCGTAGGTGAGGGTGAAGGAAATTGTGGGGGTAGTAGGGAGAGGGGAGAGGGGAGAAAGGGAGCGGTAGAAATGAACGAAGGAGGATAGGCAGGTTCGTATCACCCGACGAGTTGTCAGGAAATCAACACGCTCCCGTAACTCCTCCTCAAAAACCCTCTCCCACCCCCTTGGAAAAAGCCCCAAAAATAAGTAACACATCACACGCACAAACCCCCGTCGTCGCAAACACATCCACCACAATCGTCCCAAAGATGCCCATCAGCGCCAGCCTGGGCACTCTCGCCCTCAGCGCGCCGAGGGCGAAGGCGCCGAGGAAGAACAGGGCGCCGTAGGCGGCGGAGGTGCGCGGGTCGAGGAAGGCGCCGTGGAAGATTAGGGATTGGAGCTGGGGCGTGGATCAGCGTCAGTCCGTTATTCCAAGGGAGGTGAATTTAAGAGGAGGGGAGAGAAGGGGGGTAGAGGGAGGAGGATGAGGGGAGGACGAAGCAAGGGAGGATAACGGGAAGGGAGGATCTCGGGAAGAAAGGAAGGAGAAGAAGAAAAGCGCACCTGCAACGTCGGCGACACCCCGGGCACGAGCCCCTTCTGCGCCGCCGCTAGACGCGCAGCGAGGAGCGCCTTGTCGCGCACGGCGTGGCCTGCGGCCATCATTGCGGCGCCCCATGCCCAGCCGAGGAGCATGCCTGCATTGCGCGACGCATCAATCTACATTGGCAGAGGAGGACGAGTGACGAAAGCAGCGCGCACCGAACAAGAGCGTGAAGCTCGCAAGAATGAACACCGAGAGCGCAAGCGAGGGCGGGAGGAGCACTGCTACCAGTCTATCGCCCACCATATCCCGTCAGTTTCCCCTCGAATAAAATCACACAAAAAAGGAGAGAGAGAAAGAGACGCACGCAGCGAAAAACCCCGCCTGCCCCATCGTCCTTAGCGACGCGTTGTCGACCAGGAGCACCACGGCCCCCGCGAGCGCGAGGATGCAGCGCACCCAGGTCTTGAGGAGCCGTTTGTTGCGCAGGGCGGGGCTGAGCCAGGCGAAGAAGCCGGGCGCGGCGGCGGCTTCGATTTCTTTGTCCGCGTCTTCCTCGCCGTCTCCGTTTCCGTTTGAGTCCTTTTCGCCGACGCCGCTGGCCTTGTCCTCCGCGCTCCCATCCCGCTCCCGCTCCTGATCCTTATCGCCCACCGCCGACGGTGTCTCGTCCTCGCTCCCCAACGCGCGCTTCGTCTCTGTCTCTGACCCAATCACTGTCTTCTCAGCGTTCATCGTCGTCTTTCCAGCCTTTGCTGTAGTGTCGTGTACAGCCGTTCGTGTCGTGTACGAGCTTCAGAGGATAGAGGGAGAAGCAAAGCGCCCTGAATATAGCGCACGCTCGGAAACGAACCCGGAACCGGCCTGTCACGGAACGCATCTTGTAAGCAGCATCACGCGAATCGGATCGCGGGCTCCGAATCCCTTTCAGCCGTTGACGCGTTGGAAAAGCGTCAACGGGGCGTTGGGCGGAAAATTGGGCCCGATTTCGTGGACTTTTTGATGCGTCGGGACGTAGGTGGAAAAAAAGTAGGAAGTACGCGTAGGGAGGAAGGTTTTTACGGCTAGTGCGGAATAACGCGCATCACCATGTTGAACACGGCCGGCTATGCACGTTCGGGTGTAAAGCCCATCGATTGTCGCAGAAAAACTCGAAAGGGCCAACGGAAAAGAAGAGAAACAAAAAAATCAACTATGAGAGCAGCACCACCTGGCCCCGAATCGAACGGGGTTCTTCTGCATAATTTATTGGGGAGCTCGTCTAATCGGCGCAGACGGGTCCATTCCGCACCAGGTCTTGTCCTACTTCCATTCTACCCTCATACTTTTTGTGCTCAAGCCAAAAAAAAAAACGGCCAAAGAAAGATTGTATCCTGTAGACGGTGGCGACACGACCTGGCCCCGAATCGAACAAGGTTCTTCTGCAAGCAAACACTCTCGAAGATAGAATTTGTAGATGCGGGCTCTCATATTTTTCCGCTCTAAAAGCCCCCCCCCCAAAAAAAAAAAAAAGGACGAAGAAAACTCGACCGCTTATGACCTGGCCCCGAATCGAACGGGGCTTATTCTGCAAACACAACTTTGCTGCGTCTGTATTATGTGCAGATGCGGACCCACTCCGCCTCCAGGTCTTTCCCTTCCTCCCTTCTATCTCGCTCATAGCTCATACTTTTTGTGCTTATGGCACAAACGAACCAACAAAAATGGGATTGGAAAACAACCTATGACCTGGTCCCGAATCGAACGGGGTCTTCCGCAACATACAGTCTGTATACTGGGTCATCTTTCGTAGATGCGGCCATTCCGCCTCCAGGTCTTCTCCACTTTGTTCCTACCCCGTTCATACTTCGTACTTTTATCCCAGACACAAAAACGGACAAGGGAAAAAATAGGCTTTGAGAATAACATCCCACGACCTGGCCCCGAATCGAACGGGAGCTTCTGCATGATTTGTCTTGCGACGCTTGCCCACTCGGTGCAGACGCGGTCCATTCCGCAACCAGGTCGTTTCCTTGCTTTCTTCTACCTCGTCCATACCTCATAACGATTCTCATAGGCGAACATGGACGAACAAAAAAAAAAGCAGTGACAGCGGTCCACGACCTGGCCCCGAATCGAACGGGGGTGCTTCTGCTGTACATGTTTATGGCACCAGGTCATACTTATCGCAGATGCAGACCATTCCGCCTCTAGGTCTTTCCCTTCATTCCATTCTACCTCGCTTATCCCTGATCCTTTTACGCTGCGTGATAAATAAAAATGCCCTGCGATAACAAAGACGGCGAATGACCTGGCCCCGAATCGAACGGGGTCTTCTGCATGATTTGTTTTAGAACTCGCCACTCGGCGCAGACGCGGTCCATTACGCCTCCAGGTCTTTCCCATCCTCCGTTGTACCTCCTTTTCATCCCATACTTTTATCTTTTCAACGCAAAAACGAACAAGGATGAACCCCCCACACGACCTGGCCCGAATCGAACAGGGTTCTTCTGCAAACATTCTTAGTGTATGTGCAGATGCGGACCATTCCGCCTCCGGGTCTCTCCTTCCTCCCATCCACCTCCATACTTGTATGCTCCAATGGAACAACGGACAGGGAAAAATTCCGAATCAACCACTGCAACATGACCTGGCCTTGAATCGAACGAGGTGCTTCTGCAAACAATCTAGAAGGGAGAATCCGGAGTCATTGCAGATGCGGGCCATTCCGCCTCCAGGTCCTTTTCTAACCTGCTCCTACTTACCCTCTGTAGGCATCATATTTTTGTGCTTAAGGCAAAACGGAACCGAGAAAAATTCAGTTTTGAAAACGACGAATAACCTGACCCCGAATCGAACGGGAGATTCTGCATGATTTGTTTTAGCACTCGCCACTCGGCGCAGATGCGGACCATTCCGCCCTAGGTCTTTTCCTTCATTCCATTCTACCTCGCTTATCCCTGATCCTTTTACGCTGCGTGATAAATAAAAATGCCCTGCAAAAACACAGACGGCGAATGACCTGGCCCCGAATCGAACGGGGTTCTTCTGCGAACACAAACATCAACCAGCATAAACTATCATGTGCAGACGCGGACCATTCCACCTCCGGGTCTCTCCTTCCTCCCATCCACCTCCATACTTGTATGCTCCAATGGAACAACGGACAGGGAAAAATTCTGAATCAACCACTGCAACATGACCTGGCCTTGAATCGAACGGGGAGCTTCTGCAAACAATCTAGAAGGGAGAATCCGGAGTCATTGCAGATGCGGGCCATTCCGCCTCCAGGTCTTCTCCTTCCCTCCTTCCACCCCTCTCATACCGCATACTTCTAAGCGCACAGGAACAAAGGAAAAATCGGCTTCAATGTCCAGTACTATGACGATCCTACCGAAAAAAACGGGCAGGCGAACCACGGTATGCGCGACGCATCTTTTGTTTTTATTAACCAGTAGCGCAAGTTTGGCTCCTGCGACTTGCCATGCAGTATCCGAGGTCCCGAAATTCGAATGCCGAATGTCAAGATACAGAAGCTATGCTGAGCTTTCTCTGGCGATCACAGAGAAATGCCAGGGCCAGCAATGTCCCCGTTCTTCATTACTGTCTTCTCCAGCTTATCCATAGTGCTCTGCATGGACCGAAGGCTATTTTCCATGCGGTCTATCCGTTCAATCACGGTCGCGAGTTGTCCGAAAAGGACATCCAAGCGGTCATCCGAATCGGTGCGTGCATCCTTAAGAGAGCGAGCTTCTGGTTCCCAGTGAGCTCCACGGTGAATGTGCGGGTGTGCGCATACTCGCCTTCGACACTGCGCTTCGCTTCCAGTTGGTGGTAAAATGGTCCATCAAATCTCTCTCGTGTTGCGACTCTTTCCGATGGATCTGTGTAGATGTAATTACTGCACGGCCGGAATTGATCGACGACGTACCTTCGCTGGAGGGCACAAATGCCGTGGCAAAAAAAGAAAAAATAGTCCACACCGTGGATACCATCGCAAATGTCGACACAAATACACTCGTTATCGCCGGCCCCAAAGGCTTGAGTCGTGGGACCGGTCGTAAGTATTCGAGGACAGGGACCCGGTCAGTTTCGTTGAATTCAAGAACGGAGGCACGCCATTGCGCCATCAATGTTGAATTCGACGTGGCCGCGCGAGACGCATTGCCCTCCGAGTATATTATGCCTTCAGGGACCACGACTGAGCTGTTGAACATTTCTGGCGAGCTGTAAATCTGATTGTCGAGAATAACCCCCAGGTCACGGCGCACGAGGTGGTAAATGACCTGCATAAAATTTAGGAAGGGAAAATTCAATGCGGAGAGGTTGTGTGATCCGAGGTAGCCGTGCTGTTCGTTCGGTTTCACGCCAGCGAATAGATTGGTGATGTCGGAGCCGTTCCAGGTAAAATCATAGCCAAAGGGTAGTATCGCTGCTGTCGTGTTCCGGAGGATTCCACTAAGCCCGATGAAACGAGCGGGCTCTGTGCTACACGGTGGTTGCAGTAGATTTCTTGCTTCCATCTCCAGAGTCGTATCTGGTGTAGTCTCGATGGTCCCAGTGCAGTTGCAGCATGGTCGGACAGTGACCTCAACAGAGCAGTCCCCACGGACCTCATTTGAGCCCCCGAGTACGCTACAAGTGATGTCACTGTCAGTTTTTTTCAAAAACCGAGGATCCGATCGTATAACCCACGCATCCAATGCCCAAGACTTCATTCATTAATCCATCGATCACCATAGCAGCCTCAGTTTAACACTGCACTCACCAAGTCGTTCCCAAATAATCCGACCAAGGGAAAAAAACAGGTGGTCATTCATCATGGGAAGACTCCACGTCATTTGAAAGACAGTTGGCCGAGTGCAGGTCACAAACCCCTGCAAATAGTTATTAACAGGCTGCGAAGATGCTGTTCCAAGAAGCTAAACTGACTGAGGCTGTAGTTTCGTACTGTTCAGATGGATTAACCGAACCTGCCAGACTGCGGTTCACAGTAGCCGATATGTTTGTCTGATGGTAATGATTTCGCCGTTTCAGACAAGTTTCAGAAGGTTGTACATACGCACTCACCACATCACAGTTGTTCGAAAACGGGTTGTTGTAATAGGGAAATGAACTGACTGGTTTTCGGTTGTCTACCGCATCGAATGCACTGACAATTGTATAGGAGAAGAGGGAGTTGTTGAGTCGGAATGTGTCGCCAACATGCAACGTCTGAGGTGCAAATGTTGCATCAGAAGCACGCAGGAACGGAGGGATGATGTTGCTCATGGGTAGTGCAGGAACACTGTTATTAGGGAAGTAGGTGGATTCCTGTACCATATCATAGGCCGAGAGCGGAACTGAACGACCGGGTCAGTACCGGTTCCCCGTGTATGAGTTTTGTGGTACACGTACTATTCAAGCAGGCCAGAAGGACTGTACTCGTGAGGAGGAGACACAGTGCAAGTGGCGTGGTCCAGCGCCAGGGATATGCTGCAGCAAGGCACTTCGAAAAGTGAAAGAGGTGCCTGGATCATCCGAGTACTTACGGCGTTGGGGGCTGTAGCCAATTCTGTAATCGGCGAGGAAGCTCAGCGAGTGTCGGAGACTGTGCATGGGATGAATGATGTCAAAGCTGTCTGGAGCTGTCTTGAGTGTGCCTTATATACCATCCCTCCGTGGGCTGTTTACAACACAGTGGTTACCATAGGCACCCAAAAGAGCCGACCCTAACCGTGGAGTAACAGTTTAGACATTTGATTCCAATTGATTTCGGGCGCTGATGTTGTAATGTTCTAACTTCTAAGATGTACAAGACATGCCTCCGCTTCGCTCCGGCAGCTCAGATCTTGGCTCGAAACATTGGTTTAACCGGCTATCTGTGATATCAACACATCCAGATAGATTGTCCTTGCAGTTCGACCACGGTCCGAAGTTCGAACTTGGAACAGAACCAAGTTCCAACCAAATTCAAGTGTTGTGATCCAAATAATAGGGTGCTCAACTCAGATCGCCGGCAATGATGAGTATACGACGCCAGAATCATGCAAGAATAGGGTCGTTCACGGTTCCCTTTTTCCTCCCCTTTTTGGTCCCTTTTCCACTCCCTTTTTGCTGTTTCCAACGAACTGGGTAAATATCGGTCATTGGAGTTCCTTATTAACAACATGCGAGCTTGAAGGTTGGTATAGGGTCATGCAAGCTTCTACTATACTCCAGAAGCATGCAATACATGAATCATTGGAAAAGGGGAGGAAAAAGGAAGCAAAAAGGGCACGAAAAAGGGAGTTCTGTCGGGGGGTTTCACAGTTCACTTTTTCCTGCTCTTTTTCCGCTCTGGTAATTGGCCAATTCCGCACCTAGGAAGATGGTGTTTTCTCTTTTATACCCTTTTTACATTACATAATTGAAAAGGGGAAAAAAATCCGGGAGAAAACCGAAGGAATACAGAAAAGGGAGAAAAAAGGGAACGAAAAAGGGCGGAAAAAAGTGAACTGTGAACGACCCTAATGTGAAGCCAGATAAATTCGTGCCGCTACGTAGGCGCGGTGATAGCCGCTCTACCCATGAACTGACCTCCCAGAATCTAGAACGCCAGTCATGCTAAACTTACTGGGTCGTTAGCTGGCGAATTCGAACGCAGAACTGACGATTCCAGAACAATTTTGAAGCATTCAAGGGGTTCCCGGGGGGAGATATGCAGACGGCCTAGAACATGAAAACGGTTTGAACAGATGGTGTTTGACGCGGTGTATATTCATCCTTGAGCCAAGAAGCAGCACTTGATACAGGCTAGGCCAGTTCGAGAGGAAAAACACCAATGGGACGACGTCCAGTCAGCAATTTCCGTGTGTGCGATCTTGAAGCAGTCCAGAAGTTCCAATCCAGAAAACACTGCACGCAAAGGAGCACAGTCAAGGAGGTCAATCAAGAAGCCAAGCAGTTCAAGAAAGGGGCATTGCGAGGCTCCGTAGGGGACACAGCGTGTATTTATAGTGGCATAATGTCGGAGAAAAGGCGCTGCGCCGTAGCTGAGATGAGCTGC